CTCGAGGAGGTGAGGCTGGGGGTGAGGTCAGAGGTTGCATTGCCCAGGTGACCGACCGCAGGTGCAGGGGGACAGCTGTGAATTGGGTGGGGGACCTGAGACAGGCACTGAGGCCTTGGGGAGCTGACACAGGTGACAGTGGAAGGAAGAGGCCGCTGCGTAAAGGCAGAGCAGGTGTAAGCACAGGAGGCCTGCAAGCAGGGAAGGGGGAGAGAAAAGCCTGAGAAGGAGTGTGTGAGCCCCTGGACATATGTGGGGCCAGCCTGAGGGACAGAACCCCTGAGACTCTCAGACCACATTTTGAGAACTGATGTTCTAGAAGGAGGCTAAGCACTCCATTTTACAGCTAGAGAAACTGAGGCATGGAGACAGGGCCAGGACTCCTGGCTCTTTTTATGACCTGTTTAACCCTGACATTCCTTGGAGGAAGGACTATCCCTCCCAACCTGCCCTTGTCCCAGAGTAGCCACGTGTTGAACCAGCTCAGTTGCCCGGGGCCTGTGGAAGAAGCACTGGCCTGGGCTACCCTGGGGACAGCCTCGGGCATGGGGCCACCAGAAGTTAACACCCACAGCTTCAGTCTGAGAACTGCTGTAGTGCAGGCCCCAGCGCCCCCAACCCCCACACTCCTGGGAGGAACCCTGTTCCCAGAAGTCTGTCCCTGGACACTGCCGTCAACCTCAAGGTTCATTTCCTGGTTAAATAAACATCTATGTTAAATGGCCAAGTTGGGCAACACCCAGACGCAGCTTCTGAGGAGAACCTCGGGCACATGGCCTGCCAGACCTCGTCCCTGGCTGCCTGGCGAAGACACATCCATCATTGCAGTCACTGAAACAGGACTGTTCCATGCGTCCTGCCCAAAGCCTGCCTGTCTGGGAGGGACGTGCGGAGCAGCCTGTGCCCAAACTCTACCAGAAGTCTGTCCCCAACAGCTTGGAGATTGTAACAATGGTAACGATGATAAAGCCAGAAGTTTGGGCAGGGTGTGACCACTCCTAGCCATCGTCCATCTTGTCCTTGCTTGGTGGGGATACTCCCCCCATTTTGCAGATGAGGAAACTGAGGCCCCTGAGAGGGGCTTGCTTGTGGTTGCTCAGCCACGCATTGCCTTGTGGGACAAGGCTGCAGGCATGCTGACTTCCAGCAGAGTTCTCTTTGCGCCATTGTGGCCACTGCCCTGTGGGTCAGGATTAGAAAGAGCTGAGTACAGGGGAACAGCCCAGAGCCCTCATAGAGGCTGGCCTCCTGCTGGCCTCCACCTTGCAGGTGAGGACGAGGTGTTTCCCAGCATAACCCCTGCCTTCCACAGTCTTTCAATCCTATTTTTCTATGAACCTTAAAAAATTTTTTTAGTTTTAACTTACATATTGCAGTTGTACATACGGGGTACAAACTGATATTTTGATACATATATATGTTGTATATCCACAAACTTTTGGAAGTACCGTTTTATTATTGTCCCTGTTTTTTAGATGAAGCTCAAAGAAGAGAAATAACTTGCCCAAGGGCATCAGGATAGGAAGGGTGGAGCCCAGGATTTGAGTCCAGGTGATCCCACCCCAGAGCAGGGCTCTAAACATCGTCTGTATGACAAATGAGAACTAAGTCACAGGCCCCTAGATGGGCAGAGGTCATCTTAACTCTTCATTTTATAAGGGAAGAGACTGAGCTTCAGATTTCTTGACTCTATCCTTTCCCTACAAAATAATTCTCTTTGTGGAAGCTTTGTCACAGGGTTTCTTAAGCTGTTGAGGCCTGTCCTGGCAGGACACATTTCCCCTTGCAAGGATTTTGTTTGTGAAGATAGTTTACATGCGGGACTCTGCAGGAGCCCTGCGTTGGCAAGAGTGAGCTACTTGTTCACAGAGCCCACACTAGCCCTGCAGATGAAGAAGGCAGGCGGGGAGTCGTAATCCGGCGCCCATGGGAGGGTGGGAGGCCAGGTGAGGGCCAGAAGCCTCATCAGGCCTCAAGATTTCCCCTCCTGCTCCTTGGATGCTGTGACACCCCAACCAAGGAGGTTGCAGTGAGATGCAGAAGGGAGACTGACCATGGGCTTGATTTCTGCCCTACTAGGATGGCCTTGGAGGGACTGAAATCTCCAAAAAACCTTTGTTTATTAGCCAGGAAACTATTGGGGATGGACCAGCTAGGGAAGGGAAGTCATTTATTTAGCGCCTACTATATGCCAGGTACTGGATCTCATTTCATTAGTTTATTGGGGTGTTTGTTGAGCAGCTCCTGTATGTAAGGATAACATCAGGTAGTGTGACTGCTCTAATGGCCTACTATATGCCAGGTACTGGATCTCATTTCATTAGTTTATTAGGGTGTTTGTTGAGCAGCTCCTGTATGTAAGGATAACATCAGGTAGTGTGACTGCTCTAATGAAAAGCAGGGCAAGATAAAGCGTGGAGCAGTGGAGAGCAGTGGTTCTTGACTGGAGGTGACATTTTGTCATCCTGCCCCCCCACACCCGAGTACATATAGCAATGTCTAGAGACACTTTTAGTCATCACACCTCAGGGTAGGGGCTGCTGGTGTCATCCAGTGGGCAGAAGCCACACATGCTGTTAATTATCCTGCACCCACCCGAGTACATATAGCAATGTCTAGAGACACTTTTAGTCATCACACCTCGGGGTAGGGGCTGCTGGTGTCATCCAGTGGGCAGAAGCCACACATGCTGTTAATTATCCTGCAGCCCGTAGGATGGCTCCTACAGCAAAAACTGTTCTGGTCCAAAATGCCAGTGGTGCCAAAGTTGAGAAACCCTGGGGTAGAGAATGGCTTTGGGTGTTCTTCGGGTTGGGTGGCCACCCTGAGGATGTGACTTTTGAGTCAAGATCTGAAAATGTCAGAAAGTAAGAATGACAAGATCTGTGGACAAGCATTGCAAGAAGAGAGGACAGCATGTGCCAAGGCCCTGAGTCCGGAAGGCATCATCCAGAAGACCAGTGTGTGTGAGATTGGTTGGTTATTGTGCACCATATTTCAGGTGAAAAAATTAGGGCTTGGTGGTAATGGTTTGCTAAAGGTCACTCGGTGAAATGGTGCCGGAGCCAGGGTTTGAACGTGGAGTCCGTTTGCTTCCCACTGCCTCAGCTGCCACTGTCAGGGGGGGTGGCTCAGCCTTCATTTTTTAGTTGAGACCTTTCCCCTAATTGACTCTTTAAATTTTTTTTTCCTTTTTGTCTTTTTTACTGACCGGCAACGGGATTGCAACCCTCGGTGTCGCCTAAATTTTTTTTTTCTTTTTGTCTTTTTTACTGACCGGCAACGGGATTGCAACCCTCGGTGTCGCGCCCGCACCGCGCTCAGCCAGCGAGTGGGAACAGGTCTCCACATGGGATCCGAACCCTCGGCGGGAGCGCCTCCACGCTCCCAAGCGGCGCACTCTCCAGTGCGCCACTGGGCCGGCCTTAAATTTTTCTTCTAATTCTATCTGTGGGTACTCGGTTCTGCTCCTGGCACTACCTCAATAAGAAAAACAATAAGGATAATAATAGGCGGTATTTTCCAAAGTGTTTACTGTGTACCAAGTCCTGTTCTAAGTGTGAGATGGATACAGATCTGCATGTGTATCCATGTAAACATATGCACTTACATTTAGTCCGCACAATATGCCCATGTGTTAGATACCATTACGCTATTGTGCCTATTTTACAGATTAGGAAATTGAGACATAGAGAAGTAAAATGTCTTGTTTGACTAGGAAGAGGCAGAGGCAGGAAACAGCCTGGTTCCAGGGTCTGTTCATTTGACCACAGCACGGTGCAGTCGCTCTCTCGGCAGGTTCTGAGTTTCTCGTCACTAGAGTGGATCATTCACTTGACCAGTGGCTCCTCAAGTTTAGTAACACAAAAGATTCATCACAGAAGGAAATTTAGAGGTTACTTTGTCCACACATGGAGATGCTGAGGCTTGACCTCAGAAAGTGAAGTTGTGCAGGAGGCATTGGGAGAGTTGGAACCAGAAGCTAGTGTCCTGGCCAAGTGCCCACTGCTCTACCGTAGGCCACCTGCCCCTGCCATGCTGCAAATTCCCAGCATCCTCCGACTGTTTCATCAGGCCTGCCCCATAGAGTCTTTGCACCTCTGCATCCCAGCCACCAGCCAAGCCTGATACCCAGCAGATTTGGGGCCACGGAGGAAGAGCCTGCTGGTGGCAGAAGGCCCAGGCATCTGCCTCATCCCCCACCCATCCTTCCTGTTTATAGACAATCCCGATTTCTTCCCAGATCTTACAGGTGCAGAAACTGGGGCTCTGATGGGTTAAACAGCTGACCTTCTGAGGTCAGCCTGCAGCGTCAGCGCCTCCCAAGTGGAATGAACATCCATTCATTATTCATTCATTCCCTTGATCATTCTTTCAGTCAACAAAAGAGAACCACTGTACACCAGGCACTGGTCATGCCGAAGTGAAATGCATTCCCTGCCCTCCAAGGGAGACATGATTGCCTCACAGCAGTGAAGAGTGTCATGAGAGGGGGTGCTCAGAAAGGGTGTCTGTCCCAGCCATTCAGAGAGGGTGGATCAGGAGGGGCTTCTTGGAGGAGGTGATTCTATGGCTAAGTCTTGAAGGATGACAGGGAGTTGGCCAGGCAAAGGAGGGGGAAAGGACACTGAGAGAACAGCATGTGCAGAAGCAGGAAGTGAGAGAGCCCTCGCTAGTACAGAGAACCAAGATTGTTCAGGATTGCTGGGGCCATGGGGCGGGAGGCAAAGATCACGCCACTGTGCGGAGCATGAGCACAACAATCTTCTGAGTTAGATGCTGTTGATATCCACATTTACAGATGAGGAAATCGAGGTGCAGAGAGGTTAAGCAACTTGTTGAAAATTACACAGGTAACGAGTGCCAAGGAGCAGACTGACAAGTGCTCAGAGGTGGCAGCATGGTGGCGCCTCTGTAGACCTGGCGCTGTGTGCCTGGCTCTACCTCCTGCCGCTCCCTTTGGTGCCTGCCCCTCCTGATGGCTCTGTTTCCTCCCACAGGTGGAAGGACAGTCCAGAGCCCTTGTCATCGCACAGGAACTGCTGTCTTCGGAGAAAGCGTGAGTCCACATGCAGCTGCCTGTGCCCTTGAGCTTGTAAACAAAACATCGCTCCTCCCGGGCTTACACAGGATGGGAATTAATGCAGACCCAACCCTCTTTCCCTCTGCAGATACGTGGAGATGCTCCAGCACTTACATCTGGTGAGTTAATCATTTTAATTGTCCAAAACTAATTGCCCTTTTACAAGGCTGTGACATAAGAGGCAGAACAGCACTGAGGAGACAGAGGTGATTTCCATTAGCAGAGGCTTGGCAGCAGGCGAGCCTTCACCGAGGCTTTTCAGGGAAGTCTGTCTCCTGATTAATGTGTTTTGGGCAGTGGACAGCTCCCTGCTTTCAGCGGATGTGCCTCGCTGCTCAGGGTGAGGTGTAGAGTGGACTGAAGCTTCTGGAAGGATGTTTGAGGTTTCCTCAGCCTTCTCATTCAGAAAGGCAGGAGGAGGACAGAGGAATGGTTCTGGGCATCATTGTGTGTGTGACGTTTGCATGTGTGCGTGCATGTGTGTGTTGAATGTTTAGGTCCATATGGAGGTATTTGCACAATGACAGGGCAGCTGAGGGTACCAAGAGGCTTTCAGCCACCCCAGCATCAGGACAGTAACACCTGAGCTGGTGAGGAGGAAAAGAGGCCAGACTTGGGACCACCTGGACCTCAGGCACTGCCACCCTTCATGGCTCACAAGACTTCCTGCAGAGCCTCCCTCTGCAGTCAGCTTGATTTAGTTCAACACACATTGTTCTGAATTCTTGCTGCAGGACAAGAGCTGGGGAATGGAAAGACAGGATTAGACAGGGTCCTTCCCCAGGACCTCTCTGGCCAGCAAAGACGAATAATATTCAGAGCACTGGGGAAGTGACCAACAACCCCCTGGGGGAACCTGGGCAGGCTTCCCTGAGGAGGTGAATCAGTCATAGGGAGGGCTGAGGGAAGGGGGCACAGCAAAGACGTGGGAAGTTAGGGAAAGTGGTGGCCTCGGGCCCTTGTGACAGCTTCCTGTCCTCTGAGCTCTCTAAACCATTTGCAGTCTCGCCACAGTTTAGTGTTTGATTCTACACTACTTTGTGTCATTTACCATCTCAAAGAATGTCAGAGCTGCACATGTCCACCATGGAATTTTCAAGTGTTGATATGGAGGCCCTGAGGGAGTGACCTGGCCAGTGTGACACAGCAACTGACTCCCAGCCCACTGTTCTCATGTGTTAACTGTGTGTCCTCAGCTGCCTTTGGAGCTCAGGTTAGGTGCCACCTCGGGGTGCACCAGAGTACCCAACACCAAACCAGGACTCTTGCAGAGCTCCTTATCAGCAGCGTCACACTGACATCACATCCCCATGTGAGCAGAGGGCACCAGGTCCCCGGGGGGAGGACAGAGCACTACTCTGGTCTGGCACCCCCATCCTCTCATTTTTACCCTTCAGGATGAGAGCTTTGTGCATGTTATTAGACACGAAGCCCTCAAGTGTGAAATGTACCAGCCTCCGCTCCCCGCCATACCTTAAAGAATTATTTAGTAAGGGCAGGAAGACTCATTCTCCCATTTTTTCTTCTCTCTCACTTACTTCTGGGCTGGCAGCATGGCAGAGTGGCTGGGCTTTCTTGTTTTATGACTTTGTTAAGAGGGTTTTAACTGGGAAACTTCCGTCTGTGTTTGGACTGCTTCCTGCCAGTTGGAAAGACACTGAAGCCAGTGGTAACCCATAATAATATCCTGAGGAGGCGAGTAAAAAAGAAAAAGAGCCCATAAAAATCACAACTCATAAGCTAGTTGCGGGAAATTGTGGTCTGGAGCTATATTTATCACATCAGTGCTTATGGGGTTAGAAGTAGCAGGAATCCCCCAGTGTCACTCCAAGTCCTAGCCAGGGACACTAGTTTTAAAGGAGACCCATAGATTTTGGGGCATTCCACTCCCCAGCCTTTGATCCCTGGTTGCTAAGGTTGGCAGCTTCTCCCTCAAGGTTTCCCCTTAAATATTTGATGCTACTGAAATCCCAAGGCTACCCAGTGATGGGGAGGGCGGGGCTGACTATGCCTCCTAAATCTCCCCAGCTCGAAAGGTTGTTGATTCTACTGTGTTATTGTTAGGGAAGGACAGTGTGGTCTGTGGCCTTCCATGTCTGGGATTCAACTCTGTACTTGTCAAATGGTAGACAGAGCTAACTCGGGGATTACCAAAGATTCTGGTCATCCAGATTGAATCTTAATGGTCAAGATTCTTTTTTTTTTTTTGTATAGTCTATTAACTAAGAATGGATTTAACACTTTTAAACATTTGGGGAAAAAGGCAAAGAAGAATATGCAGCTGAGACCATATGTCATATATAAAAACAAAAGTATTTGTTATCTGGTCCCTTATAGAAAAAGTTTGCTGACTTCTGGTTTAAAGTCTCCCTTCCAACCCAATTATAAAAGTATTACTCCACCTGCCCATCTTTCAATCTCTCACCTACCCAGCTAGCCAGCCTTTCACATACTTCCCTTATAGAAAAAGTTTGCTGACTTCTGGTTTAAAGTCTCCCTTCCAACCCAATTATAAAAATATTACTCCACCTGCCCATCTTTCAATCTCTCACCTACCCAGCTAGCCAGCCTTTCACATACTCATCTGTCCTTTCATCTGTCCATGCACCCATTCATCCTCCCAGCCCATCCACTACTCAGGTGTACACCCCCCACCACCCATCCGGCCATCTATTCATACATTCATCCATCCAGCCCCCACCCAACCATCCATCCATTTATCCATTCATCATCCAGCCACCCGTCCAACCATTCATCCAGTCATCCACCCTTCTGTCATCTACACATCCAAACACCATCTATCCATCCATCCACCCGACTCCCCACCCACCCAGTCATCCTTCCATCCATCCATCCATCCATCCTTCCTTCCATCCTTTCTTCCATCCTTCCTTCCACCCTTCCATCCATCCGTCCATCTTTCCTTCTTTCCACCCTTCCTTCCTTCCTTCCTTCCTTCCTTCCTTCCTTCCTTCCTTCCTTCCTTCCTTTCATCCATCCATCCATCAATCCTTCCTTCTATCCATCCATCCTTCCATCCTTCCATCCATCCATCATTCCTTCCTTCCTTCCGTCTGTCCGTCCATCCATCCTTCCTTCCTTCCTTCCATCTATCCATCCTTCCATCCATCCATCCATCCATCCATCCATCCATCCATCCATCCATCCAACGATCCATCCATCTTTCCACTCCCCCATCCATCCATCCATCCATCCATCCATCCATCTTTCCTTCTTTCCATCCTTCCATCCATCCATTACGCATCCATCTGACTTACCCATTTGTTCTGGAAACATTACAGGATGTTTACAGTGCCATAGATACTGAGATAGGCCTTGGAGCCCCAAAGATGAATAAGGTCCAGAATCTGCCTTTGAGTAGGTTTCTTTTTTGCAGGGAGAAAGGGTGGGGAGAAGAAAACAGACAGTTATGCTACTGTAAAAATAATTTGCACAACTGTAGTTTTGTGTAAAATCTGCAAGGGCATGGGAGAGGGAGAGACTTGATCCTTTTTGGCGTATCCAAGAAGGTTTGCAGAAGGGGTGTCACTGAGATGGACTTCGGAGGAGTTGGCCAGGCTGGGGTAGTGATGGACAAGGGCACACAAGGCAGGGCAGTTGGCATGGGCAAACACTCATACACCTAAGGGTACAGTCATCCTGCCTTATCCTTGGGAGATCAGTTCCATGATCCCTAGTGGCTGCAGCTGAAACCGCAGATAGTACTAAACCCTGTGTCTACTGTTTTTCCTATACATACACATCTGTGTAAAGTTCAATTTGTAAATTAGGTGCAGTAAGAGATTAAAAACAATGACTAATAATAAAATAAAACAATTCTAACAATATGCCAACATCACTACTCTTGCACTTTGGAGTTGTTAGTAGGTAAAATAAAGGTTACTTGAACATAAGCTCAGTGATACCACAAAAGTCAGTCTGATAACTGGGGTGGCTACTAAGTGACTAATAGACGGGTGGTGTACACAGTGTGAATACCCTGGACAAAGGGATGATTCATGTCCTGGGCAGGACAGATCAGGACAGTGCGAGATTTTATCATGCTATTCAGAATGGCACACAATTTAAAATTTATGAATTACTGATTTCTGGAATTTTCCATTTAATATTTTCAGACTGTGGTTGACTGTGGGTAGCTGAAACTGTGGGTAAGGGGAGACTGCTGTACTTGACATGTTTGGAGAATGGTGCATCATCACATATGGTGGGAACATAGATAATTTTGGAAAGGCAGGTGGGAGACAGAATCAGGGGTCAAGCATAGGCCCCAAGACAACGCTAGGATCAGATTGAGAAGTACGACTGTAGTCTGTTTGGTGCTGCTATAACAGAATACCCGAGACTGGGTAATTTTTAAAGAGCAGAGATATATTTCTTACAGTTCTGGAAGCTTGCAAGTCCCAGGTTGAGGGGCTGGTGTGTGGGGAGGACTTTCTTTCTTTGTCATTCTATGGTGGAAGGGCAAGGGAGCTGTAGGCACAAGGTGGGGTCAAACTCATTTTTATAACAAACCCACTCTTGATAACAAACCCACTCTCACAATAATGTCGTTAGTCCATTCATGAAGGCAGAGCCCTCATGATCTAATCATCTCTTAAAGGACCCACCTCTCAACACTGTTGCATTGGGGATTAATTTTCCAACACATGAGCTTTGGGGGACACATTCCAACCATAGCAAGTACCTAAAATGCCATGCTAAGGAATTTATGCTTTTCCTTGTCTATAATGAGTAGTTAAGAGATTTTAAATGGACACAGCCCCAGGACACATTTAATTCTGTTTTCTCACATAAAATTCCTTTCTTGTTGGATTTGTAGAGAGAACAGATCTAGGCTTGCTTGGGGGCTGGTGGGGGAGTGAAGGGAGAGGAGCATTGGGGAGAGGTTGGATGTGGACAATGGGGAATAACTGCAATTTGAGGTGGTGGCATGCTGACAGTATTGATCTGCTCACCACATCTTGGGCCCAGGTGCTGATGGTCAGCTCTGTGCCACATGAATATGTATAATCAATAAAAATAAAAAATAAATAAATGTGATGTCAATCACCCCCCCAAAAAAGAAATAGAGCATATTTGTAATATTAAATTTTTAGTT